TTTTTTTTTTTTTTTTTTTTTTTTTTTTTTTTTGAGACAGTCTTGCTATGTCGCTCTGGGTAGAGTGCCATGCCGTCATAGCTCATACAACCTCAAATTCTTGGGCTCAAAAGTGATCGTCTTGCCTCAGTTTTCAGAATACCTGGGACTACAGGTGCCTGCCATAATGCCTGGCTATTTTTAGAGATGGGGGTCTCACCTTTGCTCAGGCTGGTCTTCAACTCCTGAGCTCAGGCAAGCCACCCACCTCGACCTCCCAGAGTGCTAGGATTACAGACATGAGCCACCACTCCGGCCTCATGATTTGATTTCTTTTTTTTGTCACCCCTGGTAGAATGCCGTGGCATCACAGCTCATAGCACCCTCCAGTTCTTCGGCTTAGGCAATTCTCTTGCCTCAGCCTCCCGAGCAGCTGGGACTAGAGGTGCCCACCACAACATCCGGCTATTTTCTTTGTTGTTGCAGTTTGGCCGGGGCTGGGTTTGAACCCGTCACCCTCAGTATATGGGCCTGGCGCCCTACCCACTGAGTCACAGGCACTGCCCTGATTTTTAACCATTTAAAAATATAAAAAACATTTTCAGCTTACATGCTATATAAAAACAGGTGGCAGGCTGGAATTGGCTTGTGGCTGTACTTTGCTGTACCCTGGTCTACACTCTAACTCCTGGGTTTTGCCTATTTGTCCTTCACCCAGTCCAGAATATGCCAAAAACAGCTCAAGTGCACGGTAAGAGTAAGAGAATTTGAAGATATAAAGATTGAGGGAAAAGAGTCTGGTGGCAGACTTTACCATTCTCTTTTTTTCTAGGCTTTGAATACTAAGCTAAGAATAGTAAGAATACATTTCTACCTAAATCCTCACTGTTCCTTCAAACTACTATTTCAGCACCAGAAGGTAGCTGTTGCATAATTCCCTTTCCTTATTCAGCAGCAGCTGCCCTTCTAATAATCCTTGCTGTGTTTTGGTTAAAGTATCCTGCATTTCTCCTATTCCCTTCTTTTTTTTTTTTTGAGACAGAGCCTCAAGCTGTCCCCCTGGGAGAGTGCTATGGCTTCACTGCTCACAGCAACTTCCAACTCCTGGGCTCCAGCGAGTCTCCTGCCTCTGCCTCCCAAGTAGCTGGGACCACAGGCACCCGCCACAACGCCCGGCTATTTTTTGGTTGCAGCCATTATTGTTGTTTGGTGGTTCTGGGCTGGATTTGAACCCACCGCCTTAGGTGTATGTGGCTGGCGCCTTAGCCACTTGAGCCACAGGCGCCGAGCCCTCCTGTTCCCTTCTGAGCTGATTCATTTTCCATTAGAAAGCAATGTCCTGGCTCTAGAACTTTTTCTCTTCACACACCCTTAATTTTTATTCATTCATGCATAAAACATTTATTTACTACTTATTATATCCACCTAATATAATAAATCTTTAGGTTATAGTGGCAAACAAGACAGACAGGTCCTTGTTTCCATGAAGCTTTATGCTACTCTAGTAAGAGAGACAGACAGACAGAAAATTGTGTATGTGACCCTCTATACAAATAAACCATACTAACTTCAGTGTAATTTGCCAATGGGTACAGTGCAGAGTATCTGTAACAACTATGTCCAAGCATAGGAATATTAGTTTAAGCAAATCCAAAAACAAATTTGGAAAGCACTTTGTTTGGAAAACACCTTCTGTCCTTTGCTCTCATTTTCTAAGCAGGCTCTTCTTACCCTTAGGGCAACAGATAAAAATGAACAGTTTCTCATGGTATACTGTGGTAACCAAGCTCACAAGGCATTTTCTCACCATTTGGTTACACAGAAAGCAGCTCTGAAAATCAGCAGCCTGTTTCTAAATTTAAACCCTTTCAAGCCCACACATTTCACATAAAGGGACTAGGTTAAAAACCTTCTTCCAAACAAAACAGTACATTCAGAATTAGTTCCAGACCAAGACAGTAACAGGTCAGCTGTCGTTTGCTAGATTATAATGTAGTAAAAGTTCCATTCAAATACTATAAAGAAATGCCAAGTATGAAGAAAAGAAAGCCAGTAGAGAGGGTACCAAATTAATTAATGCAAGGTGAAAAATCCATGTTTAATGTGAGAGGGGACCTGGATACCATGTAAGGAAGGGTCTCTTGGCTTTTTTTTTTTCTTTGCTCTGCTTGACATGCTGCAGAGGGTTCTTTTCAATTCTACGATTCTTCAGAAAGTATTATCCCAAGAAGGAAAACTGTAAAAATACAAAAATATAATGCGTAGCTAAAAAAATTCATGAGACACAAGCTCAAAAGCTTCTGTACAGCTAAGGAGACAGCAACCAAACCAAATATACAATCTACACAATGGGAAAGGATATTTGTATGTTTTGAATGAGACAAATGCTTAATAACTAGGATCTATGGAGAACTTAAATTAATCCACGTGAAAAAAGCCAACAATCGCATATCGATGGGGAAGAGGGATGAACAGAACCTTCTCTAAAGAAGACAGATGAATGGCTAGCAAACATATGAAAAAAATGCTCATCATCTCTAATTATTAGAGAAATGCAAATTAAAATGATGGGGCGTGGGCTTGAAGACTTATCAATGTTATATCTGAAGAGACTACCAATTCATTAAGCGCAACTGTCCCTCACCACAGCTCTGTGGTCCTGTGGTCCTTTGGATCTGTGTCCCTCCAAACACACAGATCCAAACCTCCATGAGTTCTGTTGCCAAGGTAGCTTTGAATTTTTCTTCCCATAATTACTAACATAGGAGAAACTGGTTGAAGTATTTACCGAAAAGCATGCTTACTCTAAGATGAAAACTGTACAGTATCTGAAAATACTGAATTCTAAAGCTTCTTTAAAGGGCCCAGAGGAGGGTACACCCGTGCACACCTGACCAAAAGCCCCTCTCTTTGTCTAGATGAGATAATGCTCTTATATTTTAACATGTAGTAAGACAAAAAAAGTTGTACCTTTGCTGCAGTCCTTAATGGCCATCTCTTTCTTATCCTAAAGAGAAAAACAACATTAATATGTGCTACCCTAGGATTTTTTTTTATTTTTTTATTTTTGGACACAAGATCTCACTCTGTCTCCCAGGCTAGAGTGCCACGGTGTCAGCCTAGCTCACAGCAACCTCAAACTCCTGGGCTCAAGCAATCCTCCTGCCTCAGCCTCCCAAATAGCTGGCAATATAGGCACTCCTCATGATACCTGGCTATTAGGGATGGGGGTCTCGCTCTTGCTCAGGCTGGTCTCGAACTCCTGAGCTCAGGGGATCCACCCGCCTCAGCTACCCAGAGTGCTAGGATTACAGGCCCAAGCCACTGCTCTGGCCCAATAAATACTTTTTTTTGAGACAGAGCCTCAAGCTGTCCCCCTGGGTAGAGTGCTATGGCATCACCGCTCACAGCAACCTCCAACTCCTGGGCTCAAGTGAGTCTCCTGCCTCCGCCTCCCAAGTAGCTGGGACCACAGGCGCCCGCCACAACGTCTGGCTATTTTTTTTTGGTTGCAGCCATCATTGTTGTTTGGCGGGCCTGGTCTGGATTCGAACCCGCCACCTTAGGTGTATGTGGCTGTTGCCTTAGCCACTTGAGCCACAGGTGCCAAGCTAATACTTGTTTTTTTTAAAAAAAGAACTGGACTCTAGTCCCAGCTCCAACCCTAATTTTCTGTTTAACAATGGTTATGCTACTTCCCCTCACTAGGGCTCAGTTTCTCATCTAAAAATGAGTAGGTTAGGCCCAGTGCCAGTAGCTCAGCGGCTACGGTGCCAGCCATGTACACCAGAGCTGGCAGGTTCGAATCTGGCCCAGGCCTGCCAAACAACAACAACTACAACCCCCCCCCCCAAAAAAGAAGAACCTCATTTTGGGCAGTGTCTGTGGCTCAAAGGAGTAAGGCACCAGCCCCATATGCTGGAGGTGGTGGGTCAGCCAAAAACCATGCACACACAAAATATATAAATAAATAAATAAATAAATAAAAACGAGTAGGCTGGATTGAATAGCATATAAGATATCTTCCAGTTTTAAAATGTCTATTTTCTCCAAATTAGAAGTTTTCTGCAATATTAAAAGATATTATTTCAAATAAATGTTCTATCAAATATTTTGCAGAATACGGGAGTGATGTCAACAAAATTGCACTTCAGGATTTAATCAAAGTTACTTGCAGGATGGGAAGTGAATACTCATTGAGTATGGGCTATCTTTTTAGAGTGATGGCAAAGTTCTGGAAGTAGGTAGTAGTGATGATTGTGTGGTATAGTGAAGGTATTTAATGCCACTGAATTGTGTTGTCACACACCATGTAACAATGTTTTAGTCAATGAGGACTACATATATGAGAGTGACCCCATAAGATTATAATGGAGCTGAAAGATTACTAAAACCCAGTGAGGTAACAGCCATCTAACATCACAGTACAACACATTTCTCATGTGCCCAGGAGATGCTGGTGTAAACTGATTATGCTATCAGTCACATGAAAGTATAACACCCACAAATCATGTACACTACATAATATTTGATAATGATAACAAAAGACTGTTACTAGTTTACGTATTTATTGCACTATACTCTTTTTTTTGAGAGAAAGAGTCCTACTCTGTTACCTTGGGTTGAGTACTATGGAGTCATAGTTCACAGCAACCTCAAACTCTTGGGCTCAAGCAATCCTCTTGCCTCAGCCTCCTAAGTAGCCGAGACTATAGGTGCCTGCCACAACATCCTGCTAGTTTTTCTATTTTTATTAGAGACAGGCTCTGGCTCTTGCTCAGGATGGTCTCTTCCTGAGCTCAAGCAGTCCACCTGCCTTGGGTTCCTAGAGTGCTAGGATTACAGGTGTGAGCCACCACGCCTGGCCTATTTTGTTTTATTTTTTTGAGACAAGAGTCTCACTATGTTGCCTTTGGTAGAGTACCATGGCGTCACAGCTCACAGCAACCTTAAACTCTTGGGCTTAAGCAAGTCTCTTGCCTCAGCCTTCCAAGTTGCTGGGACTATAGGTGCCCGCCACAATGCCTGGCTATTTTTTGGTTATAGTTGTCATTGTTGTTTAGCAGTCTTGGGCTGGGCTCGAACCTGCCAGCCTCAGTGTATGTGGCTGGCACCCTACTCACTGAGCTATGGGCGCCGAGCCTATACTTTTTATTGTTATTTTAGAGTATACTCAACTAAAAAGTAAAAATTAACTGTTGGCCCAGCACAGTGGCTCATGTGCTCAATCCTAGCACTCTGGGAGGCTGAGGTGGGACGATCACTTGAGCTCAGGAGTGCAAAACCAGCCTAAGAGTGAGGCCCTGTCTCTACCAAAAATAGAGTTAGGCTATTGCCATGGCAGTCCAGCCTGTGCAACAGACTTAAGACTGTCTCAAAAAAAAAAAAATGTTAACTACAAAATAGCCTCAGGATGAATTCCAGGAGAAGGCATTGGTGTCATAGCAGCTGACAGCTCTGTGTGTGTACTGTCCCTGGAGACCTTCCAGTAAGACATGACATAGACGTGGAAGACAGTGATATTAATGATCCTGGCCCTATGTAGGCTCAAGTTGAAGTGTGTGTGTCTCTGTCTTAGTTTTTAACAAAGCAGTTTAAAAAGTTAAAAAAAAATTGAGAATAGAAAAAAGCTCATAGAATAAGGATATAAAGAAAATATTTTGGGGTAGTTGTACAATGTGTTTATGTTTTAAATGAAGTGTTATTACAAATGAGTCAAAAGGTTAAAAAAATTATAAAGCAGGGTGGTCCTGTGGCTCAAAGTAGGGCGCCGGGCCCATATGCCGGAAGTGACGGGTTCAAACCCAATCCTGGCCAAAAACTACAAAAAAAAAAAAAAAATTATAAAGCAAAAATCTCCAGTATGCTAAGGTTAACTTGTTATTAAAGAAAATTTGTTGGCTCGGTGCCTGTGGCTCAAGTGGCTAAGGCGCCAGCCACATACACCTAAGGTGGCAGGTTCTAATCCAGCTCGGGCCCACCAAAACAACAATGATGGCTGCAACCAAAAAATAGCCAGGTGTTGTGGTGGGCACCTGTGGTCCCAGCTACTTGGGAGGCGGAGCAGGAGACTTGCTTGAGCCAAGGAGTTGGAGGTTGCTGTGAGCTGTGATGCCATAGCACTCTACCCAGGGGGATAGCTTGAGGCTCTGTCTCAAAAAAAAAAAAGAAAAAGAAAATTTGTTTAATAATTTTAGTGTAACCTAAGTGAACAGTGTGTTTATAAAGTATATGAGAGAACACTAGGCCTCCTAGGCCTCCACATTCACTCGCCACTCACTCACAGATTCAGAGCAACCTCCAGTACAGGTGTGCCATTTTTAATCTTTTATACTGCATGGTTACTGTACCTTTTCTATGTTTAGATACACACATATCTTTAGTTGCCCACACTGTTCAGTACAGTAACATGGTATACAGGTTTGTAGCCTACGAGCAATGCACTGTATCATATAACCTAGGTTTGTGTAAGGGCACAATTTGATGTTTGCACAAGGATGAAACTGTCTAGTAACACATTTTTTAAAACCATGCCTGTTGTTAAGCAATGCCTGACTGTACTTTTTTTTTTTTTTTTAAAGCAGTTTTTGCCCGGGGCTGGGTTTGAACCCACCACCTCCAGCATATGGGGCCAGCGCCCGACTCCTTTGAGCCACAGGCGCCGCCTGCCTGACTGTACTTTAAAATGGACAATTTTATGTCCATTTTAAAACAAACAAGACAAAAAAGGTTCCAATGACAACTGGGAAACTATATTTTATCTCTTCCCTAGTTCATCATACCAATTCAAATTATTAAAACCTTCAAATTATTAATACTCAAAGAAGTCCTATAGTAACCTGCATAACTCTATAAGAAAACAGAATAGATCTGTCTTTTTGGATGAGGATGGGCATTTTTTCAACTTATCACATTTCCATAAATAGAAGATACAAATTTTCCAATGTTTCCAAAATAGGAATAGATCTTTACAATTTATGTGTATACCTGATGTGGTGGTATTTCTTGTATGACTAGAAGTGATTATTAAATTGCTGTGCATCTTACCATCAGTTGGCCTCTTCAAATCACAAATTACGTTATTTTACTACAGAATCCTTTGGGGTTTATAGTCTACTGACACCTCAGGGGCCTCAGGTGCTGTCTGCTGCTCAGAGTGGTAAGTCTCCAAATCACAACTTATTTGTCATCTTTTCATAATTTTTTTTGATAGTTTCACTTTGTTGCCCTTGGTAGAGTGCTGTGGTGTCACGGCTCACAGCAACCTCCAACTCTTGGGCTCAAGCGTTCTCTTACCTCAGCTTCCTGAGTAGCTGGGACTACAGGCACCAGCCCCAACGCCCAGCTACTTACATAATTTTTATATAGACAAATGTCTATATAAAACAATGCACGTAATATAGAAAGATAAATCTATCCATACATATTATAATAGGTCCCTGACACCTATTTTGCATTTAAGGGCACCTTTCATCCTAACTGTTGGACACTTCTTCCAATGTTCATACTTTCAGGAGAAATATCAGAATCTTGGGAATAACCCTAGGGCTTCAATCAGTATTTATTTCCCTGTGCCTTTGAATCTTTATCTTGAATTCCAGAGGTCTAAAATAAGCACTGATAGCTATTCTAGGACATGCACTACTTGTCTCTTTGCTTCATTAACCTGCCCTAGTTTAGTGAAAACTTTGCGAGCCTTCCTTCCATGAAAGTATTCACTCAGCTACATTAATGAGGAATGTTAATAGTAATCTAACTCAAGTTAAAAGAAGTTGTTTTTCTATCTTCCCTGCACCCTTTCTATTAGGGAAATATATGGGCAAGAAAAGACAGATAGCAACTGTAAGCCCCTAGATGCTAGTTTGGGGACAGAAACTCCCCTATGAGAACACTGCAAGTCTATGTGCTTCTTAAAAAGTGAAGGTCAAAGATTCATACCTGTTTCATCCTCGCGGCAGCTCTATTTGAAAACAGAATAGATCTGTCTTTTTGGAAACAGGATGGGCACGTCTCAAGGGCTCGACTATAAGAACTTTCAGCTTCTATATAATCTGAGAATGATAAGATAGAGGATGAACAATCATTAAGATTTCACTCCTGATGGTATTATATTCCATATGGTCTCAGAATGCATAGTTTGCCATTCATGGGACAAAGGTTTCAAATAGAAAGATGGTCACAGTCTATTAAGTTCTAGGCAGTAAAAATCATTTCCTCCTTTCCTCTCTCTCTGAACAAACAGTGCTCACTTGTGCCAATCTCACGAGGCATGTGTGGTGAACTGACAGCTGAACATGTTGTTAGTGAAGAGCCCTCAACGCTCAGAAGTCCTACCATGCACTAAATGTTCAGCTTTCATCTGGCTTAGCAATTTAGAAAGGAGTTTTTAATGGAGGTTAGGGAGCTAGACAGATGAAAGAAACTAAACTCTGGAATCCATGGTCTGGGACGAAGAAAAAAAATTCTGTGTATATATTTTCATTAAGGCTGTTGTTACGCTTTCATACAGTCAACTTGGCCAAAACTGAAGCTGTGAAATATCAGGAGAGAAATATTTTGTGGAACTTTAAGTAACAATGTAAAAATCAATTCAATTTAATTCAAGACTTTAAAAGAGACAATGGTGATAAAGTTATGTATTCATTGTTAAATGGAAAATTATGGTCAGGATACTAAGAGAAAATAGCCCACTTACTCCTTCTTGGGTTTAAAATAATAATATATGAAGAAATGTGCTTTTAAAATTAGAAGCATTAGTTCTGTTAGAAAAAAGGAAATAATTTCTAAGATATAATAAAAATATTAAAACCTGAAAATAGGGAAAAATGTTAATGTTCCTTGATTTCTGAAGTCTATACAGTTTAAGGTCTGAAAGAACGCTACTATAAGATCAAATAGTTTCCCCAAATTCTTGGAAGGACTCTAAGTAAATTTAGGAAATGTGGAAGGACACAAAAGACGAACATCTCCTTAAGCTATCTAAAGAAAAAGGCACATAGAACAGTAACCCTTTTGGGCAGTGCCTGTGGCTCAGTGGGTAGGGTGCTGGCCACCGGCCCCATATACTGAGGGTGGTGGGTTTGAACCCTGTCCTGGCCAAACTGCAACAAAAAATAGCCAGGCGTTGTGGCAGGCGCCTGTAGTTCTAGCTACCTGGGAGGCTGAGGCAAGAGAACTGCCTAAGCCCAAGAGGAGGTTGCTGTGAGCTGTGATGCCACAGCACTCTACTGAGGGCGACAAAGTAAGACTCTGTCTCTAAAAATAAAAAAGATAAGGAACCCTTCTGAAGCAGTATGGACAAGGGAAAAAAGGAGCAACCGAAGACCAGGCAAAGTGCTTCCCTAGCCAGGTGCAGTGGTCGGGCTCACTATTATAGAACTGCAGCAAGTGAGAAAAAGGGGACCCCACTTTTACTGCAATGCAGCAAAAAGTCTCGTAAAATATACAAGGATAGTGTCTCCAAAGCAATAGCTGAGAATTCACCCCTGATTTCTGGATTAATAGACGGTGATTTTCAGAAAAGAAAAACTATGCCTGTGCCAGAAACATATGGTTAACTGGTCACAGTCAGCTAAGAACAATGTGCCCTGGTAAAAACCCTAAAATTCTAAGAAGCAACATTACATTGCTGAGGTGCTTGGGCTCGCTAGTTGTTTCCAAGTGTTCTTTAGAGCTTCGTCACAGACTCTAAAACTGGATGAGGAGTCCATGAGGAGACGTCGGTCCTGAAAGAGTGATCTTACCTCCTTTCTTAAACTGCTCGTTTCCCTCCTCTTTTAGTTTAGTACTCTCTTCTCTTCTTTTCTGAAAGAGACCAGAGAATTAAATAATTTCTTATAATATTATAAATGAACTTCCTCTACACACAAGTCTGTTTAACAGGCAGCAACCGGGCTTTTAAGAACTGAATCAGTGGCTCGGCACCTGTGGCTCAAGTGGCTAAGGTGCCAGCCACATATACCTAAGGTGGCGGGTTCGAATCCAGCCCAGGCCCACCAAACAACAATGATGGCTGCAACCAAAAAAAAAGGCCAGGCGTTGTGGCGGGCACCTGTGGTCCCAGCTACTTGGGAGGCTGAGGCAGGAGAATCACTTGAGCCCAGCAGTTGGAGGTTGCTGTGAGCTATGATGCCACAGCACTCTGCCCAGGGTGACAGCTTGAGGCTCTGTCTCAAAAAAAAAGAACTGGATTAGTTTTCCCTAAACCTCAGACAGTGACAGTGGGAAAACAGATGTCCCTCTGGCTAAGTATCAATTGTATTTTTGTTGTTTAGGACACAAAACCTAGGTTTTCTTGGCATGTTCTTTGCTATCTATGTTTGTATTTTTTGCATGGAATCTTAATTCAGGTATCATTTAATTTCTATTCAGTCAGAAATGAAACTAAATAACATTGCAATTGGTTTGCATACCAGCGTAAATTCAAATTCTAGGTTATTACATGATCTTGGACAAGTTTCAAAATCTTTCCAAGACTTAGTTTCTTCATCTAAAAAATGAATCTTTAATTAGTTCTGTGGACAAATGTTTTTGGATTAATGTGATAATGTATGTAAAGCCACCAATACAGTGACTAGTCAGAACTCAATAAATAATAAGCTATTACATTTCTGTAAAATAAGTAATTAAATACTGTGTGAAAGAGGCACATAGAATGGTGAGAGAAAGCAGTAGAGAAAACAAGCCGTGTCTTCAAGGTCAGGACAGTAAGCTGTTAGCAGGCTAACATAAAGAAATTTGAAGAAACCTAAATAGCTTCTTCCAACTCAGAAATTCACACAGATGGCCAAACACCCACCAAACACAAAGGCAGAGAGAAACTTACCATGCAAAGCAAAGACCACACTTGCTGAATCCAAGCACGTTTTCTTCCTAACATCTTAACAACATGGTTGGCACAAGCCAAACTGGGAGAAGATTCTTTTTTTTTTTTTTTTTTTTTTAACAGATAATCCCCTCTAATCTCTCTCCTTTTCCTTTCCTTTCCTTTTTTTAATTTTTAAAGAGATAGGGCCCTGTTATATTGCCTGGCTATCGTACAGTGGCTATTCAAAGGCACAGTCATAATGTACCGTTATCCTGGGTTCAAGTGATCTTTTCTTCTTTCTGAAGCTTCTGATTAAATAAAAACTTTAAAAGGAGTTAATATAGTTATCAGGGTATTTAATATATAGGAGAAGCCTAGAGCCTAAACAGTTGGTATTAACATTAGAAACCAAAGCAAAAATATTATTTCTCTTGAGAAGATTTGTAAATGTGCTATTGATGAGCTCAAGGTGTTTCCCAAATGCCTTATTAATATACTCTGGGTGAAACAGTGTATTTAATGAATCTCAGTAAAGAAATTAAAAGGTAAGTATAAACTGAATCCAATTTTTATGGCATCTATAAAATAGCAGATACATACAACAGATACAAATCATAATTCATTTAAGATATAACATATGAGGAAGGGCTATTCTAAGGAAATGAAGAAAAACAAAACAGGTAGTGGTGATGGTGGGAATCAGAATAGAAGAATGTGGCCGTATTTGCTTAGAACTACCCATAAGAGAGGTGCTCGGATTGTAACGATCCCTACTGCATTGTTTAGGGTTTGGGGAAGCAAGCCAATGACTCAAGCAAATAATTTTAGGGGACAGGTTTATTGGAAAGATATCAGGGGTCAAATGAGAGGCTTAGAGACCAGGCAAACAGGTAGAACTCAAGGCAGCTCTTTTAAGCCAAGAAGCAGAAGTACGAGTGCCTTTTACTGAGAGAGTCTATCCACGACAGTGCTGCAAGGGTAACAAAAAAATTCTAACCATTCCCTTTTCTTTGTTTCACTTGATCTAGATGGATCTTCATTGGAAATACTCAAAGTATAGGTCAAATGATTTGACTGTCAGAGAATGGAGGGACAGGGGCTACTGCCACTCAAGATTATAACACAGGCGAATTCCTCCAAACAAGAAGGGGATTGGAGGCCTGGTGGTGGCTCACGCCTGTAATCCTAGCACTCTGGGAGGCTGAGGCGGGTGGACTGCCTGAGCTAATGGGTTCGAGACCAGCCTGAGCCAGAGTGAGACCGTGTCTCTAAAAATAAATGGGCATCGGGGCAGGCACCTGTGGTCCCAGCTACTTGGGAGGCTGAGGCAAGAGAATCGCTTGAGCCCAGGAGTTTGAGGTTGCTGTGAGCTATGATGCCATAGCCTCTATCGAGTGTGACAAAGTAAAACTCTGTCTAAAAAAAGAAAAAAAAAAAGAGGGGGGTTGGATACTGTAGAGTCAGGAAAACAGAATAAATCCAGTTAAATTACTTGAAAAATGGAAATTCTTTAGAGAAGGGCAAGTCATCAAATTATGAGAGCTTACTGCTCATCTTTAAGAACTTTCTGTTTCCTCTGCTTTTCTCAAGCAACTTTCTTATCCATAAATCTATTCTTTTTTCTTTCCCCCACAATCTATTCTGCAGAGTCATCTCATCTGTAGCTCTATGGACAGATGAATCACCCAGACTGTCAGATCAGGCTCTTGTAAAGTGTATTACGAGAGAGAGTGTGTGTGTTTTAGGAGACCAGTCATTCTTCAGTAAATTTATAACATCAGGTTCCCAGTGGGCAAAGCCTAAACCCAAAGTACACTCAGAAAGGAATTACTGATAAGGGGCAGCCAGCTGGAGAAAAAGTGCACCGTGTCTTTTTAACTGGGAGGACTAAAGTTGAACTAGCGAAGTGAAGGGCTCCAGAATGGAATTCTGAAGTTAATTATTCTAAGGAAGGCATCTTATTATTTTGACCGATAAAACACAACCCAGTGGCCCATTAAAGCAGTAAATACTGAGAAAGAGCGCTTCTTCCCTCTCCACAGATTGTATAAAGTGAGGATTAATATAATTATTAATATCATGTTGAACATCTCCTTGGAAACAGCTAAAAATAGCACCCGATAGAGAAAATTGAACTATTTCCCAGAGGTGCCAAGAGCTCTGTACCTGATCCTAGTACAAAGACTGGAGTTTATTCTGCAGCCTGAAAATACCCTTTCTCCAAAGGGCGACATGCATAACTAGATAATGTTAGTGAAATTCCAGGACAGTCTACAGTGTACAGGTCTTCACAAGCTGAGGGCCAGGAGCCTTCACACACATAGAGCTGGTTGTGCTCATATTCTGCAGCACTATCAGAGGCAAATCTTTCCAGGTTTTGTTCCATGAACAGAAGCTTCTAGCATGGTTAGAAGCCCTCTCACACGCCTCCACAATGCCTTTTAACACATTCCAGAGAGGCCTCACAGGGAAACAACTGCTTCTGAATTACACTTCCACAGAAATGACACCCAAAGAAATTTTGCAGGGCTCTACTCAGTATTCCTCCCCATCACAGGAAACTAAGGGGGACATGATGACATTATTCTGCATTGTAAGTCATTAGAGAAACTGTCAGGGAAACCCCCAAATAGACAATGCTCTTGACAACATTTATTTCAACAGTTATTACTGCAAGTGCAAACTTCTCAGCTTGGTATTCAACATTTAGTACAACCTACACCAGTACAGCCTCTTGCTGCTTAAAATCTGCTGTCCCATAGATTAGCTCATTTGCTTTTCAAGACAATTCTGAGAAGTAAGCATGGAGGTCTTTACCCATTTTACTGAGAGAGTCAAGATTCAGAAATCTCTTGTTCTTTATAGTAAGTACATTAAGCCTACCTAACCTATTTCACATTACTACCAAATACAAGGTATCTCTTCTAGACAGTCTCATCTTACTATTGTCTCTCAAAACTTACCATGCCTACTCTTAATTCCATTTGTTTGTTTATGCATCCCCACCTTGGAATGCTTTTCCACAGAATAATGCTTCCATATCCTCCACCCAACTCCCCACACAAAATTTTCTTTATTTTTCAAAGTCTAGTACAAACCATATTTCCTCCCCAGGGCCACCTTTAACTTCCTTTCCCACAGGATCTTTCTTTAAATGCAGACTGTACATACTGCTTCTAATCTGAGAATTCAATTCTGCCTTACAGATCTAAAAAAAAATTATAAAAACAATAAAAGCATTGCAAAAAGTTTGGACTATTACTTAATGCTTAAATGGTTTCATGGATGTGGAATGCTTTTAAGCTCCCCGAGCAAATGAGGCTCTTCTTTTCTACTATGTTCCAGGTACTGAGGTCCCCAGGATTTCCTGCTCAGGCTTCCTTAGCCCACGTCCAGGTTCGGCATGGGCCTTTCACTTAGATCTGTCCTCCCAAGAGTGACCTTTGTTGCAGGTTTACATAATAGTCTGGGTGCAATATTTTGTACTTTGCCTGCCCTAGACCTAGAGTTGGCTGTTTCTCTAAGGAATATTGGATCCTTTTAGTGTGAAATGGTATTTAGAAATCAAGATCTGGGTGCTAGTGTGCTCAGTGTTACTAGGGTGTTTCTGCTTTTGGGTTCTCTCAGTGAAGAAACCCAGCAAAGACATCTCAAAAAAAAAAAAAAAAAACACCAAAAAACCCCCCTAAACCAAACCAAAACAACTCCCAAACAAAGAAACCTCCATGAATATAAAGAATATTTAATAAGTGAAATTCAACAGCACAGGAGTCTTCCTTACTGTCTCCCACAATGCAAACTTTAGCTCTCAGAATAGTAATATATTCACTAATTTGCTCTATTCTATAATAAACAAGAGTTTCAAAGTGGCTTGGTGCCATAGCACAGTGGTTACAGTGCCAGCCACATACACTGAAGCTGGTGGGTTCAAACTCGGCCGGGCCAGCTAAACAACAATGACACCTGCAACCCAAAAATAGCTGGGCATTGTGGTGGG